GGGCGCGGGCAGTGAGCCCTGCCGCCTCGGCTCCCTGGCGGCCCCCATCCGGAAGGTGGGTCTGGGGAGTGGCTCCCGAGCGCCGCCCGGGTTTCCTGGTCCCCTCGTCCTCTTCCCGAAGTATGCCGGGGCCGGAGCAGCTGCCTTTGCCCCCGGGCCACCCCGCCGGGCGCTGCGGGACAAAAACAGCTTCCACCGCGGACCTGGGGACTGGGGAGGGGGTGTCCTGCGGGGATGTTGGGCTGCCCCCCCTACTCCTTGGAGCGCTCCCGGGGTGAAGTCGCGCACAGCCAGGTCTGGTTGTTTTCCCTTTGGTCAGAATCTACAGTGCGAGGAAGGTGAGGAGAAGGCCTGGTCCGGGAGCGAAGAGGAGCAGGAGCTCCAGCCAACACCAAACGAGGCTCCTGGAAGCACAGCCAGCACGGGGGGAGGCAGCGACCGCAGTCTGGCTCTCCCATCCCCTCCTGACGCTGGTGCTGATGCCGACGCAGAGAGGACAGGCTGGGAGGACTCCGAGGACGATGTTCTGAAATACGTCAGGGAGATCTTTTTCAGCTAATGTTGCTTCCTCTGCGGCTCCCCAGGAGCAAAGGGGACGGTGAGGAGGGTGTCCCCTCCCACAGCACTGAGGATGGTGGGAGGAGGGCCTGGAGTGGGCTGTGTATCTGCCGTGTTGGTGGCCTATGAAGCTGGTAGGAGGCCCATAAAGGCCATGGGGGAAAAGGAAGGGGGCACGCACTCCTCCCCGTGTGTGCTGGGTTCAGTGGGTTTTGGCTCCAGATTCGGTTATGTTCACGTCTGTTTGGCATCTCAGAGCATGGACAGATTAAAGAGGACATTTGGGTTTCTGTGAGTGTCCCTTTGGTGGGTTGTGTTGGGACTGGAGGGGAGCAGGGAGTTGCTGGCCCTGGAAGGCCTTTGCTGGCTCTGCAGAGCCCGATAGCCATGGTTCAGCCTTGGGGCTCCCTCGCCCTTGTGGTCCCTCTGTGACAGCTGCAGTGGGGCCTGGCAGGCTGGCCCCATTGGACCTGATGCTGAATTTGCCTCCAGGCTTGGGCAGGCCTCCCATAGGTGAGGAAGACATGGGTGGGAGCAGACTGGCAGGGGCAGGGACCATCCTGAGGGGGCTGACCCCATGGCAGCGTGCATGGGGGTCTAGGAAGGGATGAGGATGGCTCAACATCCTCTTCCCGGTCCGAAGCGGGGATGAACAAACCACATGAGGCTGGGGCAGGTGCAAGAGCCTTTACTGAAATGAAGAATCAGTCAAACCCGCATCACCAGCCACATCCCCACCCAGACCGCAGCAGGAGAGAAAACAGACCCTCATGTCCCCAAAGGGGATGGGGGGGAAAGCAGGCGCTTCTTTGTGCGAGGTTACAGGCATGGCATGGAGCGGTGCTGTGCACCGCCATGGCAGAGAGACCCCATCCAGTGCTCTGGCTATGATGGCCCAGCTGGGGCACTGCACCCCAGCCTTTGGCAGCCCGGGTCCTGCTCCCCGAGCACACCCCTGCGTGGGGCGTGTGTTGGTATGACAGCTTTGTGGTGAGCTGTCCTCGCACAGAACCAGTTCTCCTGGAGTCTCAAAGGCTGGTGGGGGTGCTGGGCTCAGCCCCGTAATATCAGTGGGGATAAACCTGGGGCTCTGCACCAAAATCCTCTGCTTCCTCGTGGAAACTCTCCTCATTAGGGCTGTGTTCAGTGTTCAGCAAGTTGTTAGGCTGCCCATCCAGGGGCTCTGCTGCTGCTGGGGTTGGATGTGGGCCACTTCACCCTAATGAACTAAAGCAGAGTTGCTCCAGGTATTGTTCTAGCAGGTGAAGTACAGGTGCTCCTGCTGAAGAGAGTATTTCCAGTGCACTTCTGGGGCTGCCACTGCTGCGATGGCAGTGTGAAGCCACAGCTCCTCAAGTCACAATTGCCTCGACTGCATCCCTGGTTAGTCCAGGAGTTGGAGAAGGAGCAGAGTCTCTTTGGGCAACTCCAAGAAAGGAGGCCTGTTTGCTTCTCTGCCTGTCTATACTTAGGCTAGATATGTCCAGAGGGCTGTGTCCACTGTGTGCTGGTTCTGATCTGTCCCCTTCACTGTCCTCTGAGTCAGGGCCAGAAATGCCGTCGCTTTGATGCTGTGCCCCAGGCCGAGGGGTGTGTTACACACGCTGTTCCCGGGAAGCTTCCATGCTGTGCTGGGGGTGTTGGTGTCTGCTGCCTGCTTGCTGCAGGAGCGCTGCACACAGCTGTGTGCCAGAGCATGGCTGGACATGGGCCTTTGGACTAAGCATCAAATTCCTGCCAGTGTCTAAAGCTGTAGCGGGATTACTGTTTTAAATCAGGTTATCAACAGCTCTTGCATCTTCTTCGCTGTCAAATCTCAATGGGCAGGGCCTCCTCAGTAAAGGGCTTTGACACAGGCGTGTGTGCTTGGCCCAGCTGAGGTACATAGTGACAGTGAGCATCTGGAGCAGTAGCAGAGCCTGAGTCCCAAGCAGTGCCAGGAAGCCCCCAGTGAAATCAGAGGGGTGAATCCACTGCGAGGTTTGGAACAGAAACGTACCCAGGCCTCCAGACAGGATTATGGTCTTGATGATGAGTATGATGAGGATCACCTTCCAGCCCTCTCTCTCCTCTGTGCACTTCACATGTGCAACAAAAATGGGGTAGAAGATGCTGAAGACCAGGCAGGCATACACGCAAACCCTGGCTAGCACCATTCCTGGTAGGCTGATGCCCATCACCTGCAAATGCTTGTACTCCAGGCACTGCAGCTCCCCAGCTGTCTCATTCCACAGGCAGAAGTTGTAAAAGCCAATGCGTTTGTCAGGGAGGTCGACCAGGTTCCCGGCTTCCCACAGCAGTGCGTAGAGCATCAAGGCCAAGGCCCCGGTGGCCTCAAGGAGGGTCAGCGCACAGAGCAGGTGCCCGGTGCACCTCTGTTGCAGCAGACCCATCCTGGTGCCCGCATGCTCTCTTGATACCATGGTAAAGCCTGCTGTGGGGACGCCTGCTGCAAAACATGAAGGGGGGACCCCTTGGTTGTTGTGTGTTACGGCACCCTTCCCGAGGTGTGCTCCGAGCCCCTGTCAACTGAGGTCTTGGGACTCCCCTTGTAAGTAGAGGAGGAGGATCTCAGTCCTGCCTCTGACTGTGCTGCGCATGTGTTACTGGGTCAAGGGGGGTGCATTTTTGGTCACAGCAAAGGTGGCTTAATGATGTCCTGTGCATGGACCAGCACTGGGAGGACAGGGGATGAGGCTAGTGTGGCTCCTTTAGCCCCGCACACTCCCTTTGCACCATGGTCTCACGTTGGACAAAATAGGCATTTGTCAGCAAACTGCAGTGCTGGAAGGGAGCAAAACACTGCTGTCTGGTAAGGAGGGGGTTAAGAGCTATTCTGGGAAAATGCGTTTCTTTCAGTTCTGGTCAGACAAGGACACCCCTTGTGGTCTTTGGACGACTGAGTAAAACGCAGGCATGACAGGGTCTGAAGTGCAGGACTCCCCCTGCCTCCCCGTCCCCTTTCCCCCCCATAGCTCTGGGACACCCGATGCCATTGATGCCACTCATTTCCAGCATCCACATGCCCCTGAGGCCCTTGCATGCCTGTACATTTCTGGGCACAGCAGGGCTGATCGCCGGCAGCCCTGCTCCCCACTGAGGCTGGCAGACGTGGTGCGCCTCTGTTCTGGTTGCCTGAGGACCGATGCCCCACGCGGACAGGCAGTTGTCCACCACAGAGAGGCACACCGGACCCACCCGCAGCTGCTCGCCCTTCTCTGGGGCCCGGGGAGATGGGTGCTATGGAGACAGACCTGCGATTGCCATGCTCCTCGCTCCTCTCTCAGACTGCCTGGCAAACCCGACTCCCTGCTCCTCTCCCAGAAATGTGGACTGTCCTTAGTGCCCTCTTGCAGGCTTCTGCTTCGTGCTGAAAAACAGGGAAGTGGCATCAGGAAGGGGTATCACTGGCTGCAGAGCCACGCGGCATCGCAGCATGGGCCACTTGGGTCTGCACAGAGGCACAGACACAGGCCAAGGAGCTCGGAGACCTTGGTTTCAAGCTCAGCCTCCGGCTTGAGGCTCTGCAAATAACCCCTTTCCTGCCTTTGCCAAGCATTATCTCCTGTAAATCATTTACCGCCTTCCCTCAAGAAGTTCACAACATTCAGTCCTGCTGTCTCCCCTCCACTGCCCATTGCCCAGTGGTATATCATCCCGAAGTCCTGGACGTCCAAGGCCATGACCCCACAGCTGCTTGTGGATTTGATACAGCCTCTGAGTTTTTAGAGTGCCAGGAGAGACCCCACTCAATCTGTACCCGGTGCCTAGCTGCAGCGCTGGTGACTAGAGACCCTTCAAGCATCCCCCTCCCACTCCCCGTCTCCCTGGGTACTTGGGAGTGGGCCACCTATGTTTAATGTGCACAGGGATAAAGCTTCTCCGTCCCAAACTTCTCCTCCTCCACACAGTCATAGCCAGGAGGAGGACACACACACACAGCATGGAAGGGGGTCACCGCATCCAGACACTGACCTGTCCCCTTCCCCTGGTCAATACCTCACTTCTTCTTGTAGCTTCCCTTGGAGGTCTTCTTCACAACGGGCTTCTGGAGACACTGGAAGGTCACATGGAGGATGCCCATTGTTCTGAATCTACAATGAAGACACAAACGACCAGGAAAATAGCCGTGCTTGGGCCCAGAGCATGCTGCAGAATGAGACCTCATGCACATGTAATTTCACCAGGGTTTGTCTTGCCCCTGGTATTGCCTCTTGGTTTGTCCGTCTTTACATGTGCTCTCTTGCAGCCAGGCATTGCTGCTCTTCCTCTCCCTGTCCCGCAAGGGCTCACGCCTGCTCGCCGTTCTCCCTGCCATCCTGCCTCGCAGCCCTCAGAGGGAGAACAAGCTGTGCTTGGAGGGGGCTCCTTGGTTAGCTGACCAGCTCCCCGGGGATTTCTGTCGGAACTCAGAGCTGGGACCGGTACAGCCCAGCCGGCTCCTGGCCCTGCCCACCTACCAACCCTTGCTGTCGTATTTCTTTAGACCTGTTTCCTAAGGAGGCAGGCTTGTAGAAACACGGGCTTTTTGTTCAATCATCTCACGTTAGCTTTTATTGACCCCCCCCTCCACAAAATAGAAAAGCAACTAAAAATTGTTTCTCTTAATTACTTCTTATTTCTCTTAAATGAATTATTAAATTAATAAATTATTAAATTTTATTTATTTATAAAGTGTAAC